TGTCAATAGAGATAGCTGTGGTGAATGAACATGTATATGAAGTATACGGTATAAAACTCTAAGGTTATTTGCCAATATCATTGATTGTGTTATTATTTCTCAGCCAAAATAATGAACTATAAATTGGAGACTCATTTATAAACTTGGTTTTATATAATAAGACTGCTATGCATTGTTTTACTATTTACATCCAAGACATTAGGGATACTCCGATCGCCAATTTTGGGGCCGATCACCGGAATCAGTATTGGCCGAGTGGGTGAGGGCTATCGGGATCTTCCATTTAAAGCGATGTTTAAAACTCAGTTAATTGGGCTCATTCACTGGCGCTTCCACAAACAACAACCAACATAATTATTACATTCGAATGAAGCACATTATTCAAGTTTACAATAACTTTGGATAATAACACGGGAGAAATTAGCGGAAGCGCTCGCTTTTCCTCTCTCCACCTCTCCCTCTCCTGACAGCCGGTCAGTATAGTCTCATGCAGCTCACTGATCCAGTAATGAGTGACCCGACAGTGAAGACTAAATATATTTATAACTAGTTTAGCTTGTTTCAGAGGTAGATAAAATAGCTACGTGTTTTAGGTCTAACACCGGTCCGTCACAGCGGGCGGAGCTGCAGGATTTCTGCTTCACACACGTTGCATACCGCTATTTTATTGTCATTTTCGAACACCTTAAAATAATGCCGAAGCCAATTTGGCGAGCTTGTTTTGCCGCACATAGAGAAAAGTGTCATGTATCTTACCTCATGTGATCGGCTCTCCTGATCGGCCTTTATAGAGAGCACCGATCAATCGGCAGATAGTGAATATCGGCGGCCGATCGATCGGAGCATGACATTTTGATTTGATCTTGTATGTCTGAGCACTTTGTAAAATCGGTTTCAATATGCGTGCTAAACATATCTTGGGTTATCGTGTTTCAGGTTAAATAATAATGATTTATATTACTAGTGCGATTGTTTACAGATGGATGAATTAGAGGTAAGGCATCTATTAATAAGATAAGATAGGATAAGATGGAGTTTATTTATGCCTGTGGGGAAATTCAGGAAAATAGCTGCTAAAACAAGGTGTCACTCACGGCGACACCAGGATTAATTGTAATAGCTACTTCTCATGCACGTGCGCTCTTTTCCAAAATAAATTATGAAAAAATATGAAACAGGAGTAGATAGGGTTTCTAAATCTGCCAAACAAAATTCCAAGGCAAGTTTATTTGTATATCACCTTTCAACACAAGGCAATTCAAAGTGATTTACAAAAATGAAACACATTAAGAGCATTAAGAAACATATTATAAAATGATATCTAGAAACACTCATTTAAAAGCAATGATATCAAATGACATTTAAAAACACTAATTTAAAAGCAAAGATAATAAAAGTTACAGTGCAGTTTAAGATATGAATATATCAATTAAAAGCAGCGGCAAAAAGAAAAGTCTTCAGCCTGGATTTAAAAGTAGCAAGAGTTGCAGCAGACCTTCAGGTTTCTGGGAGTTTTTTCCAGATATTTGGAGCATAACAACTAAACGCTGCTTTACCATGTTTAGTTCTGACTTTGGGGACAGAAATCTGACCAGTCCCTGAAGACCTGAGAGTTCTGGATGGTTCATAATTTAGCAGTAGGTCAGAAATGTATTTTGGGCCTAAACCATTCAATGCTTTATAAACCAGCAGCAGTAATTAATTATTTGACACACAGGAAGCCAGTATAAAGAGTTCAGAACAGGAGTGATGTGATCCACTTTCTTAGTGTTAGTGAGGACTCGAGCAGCAGCGTTCTGAATCAGCTGCAGCTTTCTAATGGATTTTTTAGTGAGACCTGTGAAGACACCATTATAGTAGTCGAGTCTACTGAGGATAAAAGCATGGACAAGTTTTTCCAAATCCTGCTGTGACATTAGTCTTTTAATCCTAGATATGTTCTTTAGGTGATAGTAGGCTGATTTAGTAACCAATTTTATTTGACCGTTGAAACTCAGGTCAGAGTCCATGACTACACCTAGATTTATGGCTTTATCTGTTGTTTAACATTGCAGACTGAAGCTCAGCGCTAACTTTTATACGTTCTACCTTGGCTCGAAAAACCATTACCTCAGTTTTGTCTTTGTTTAATTGGAGAAAGTTCTGACACATCCAGTCATTGATTTGTTCAATGCACTTACTCAGTGTTTGAATTGGAGCAAAGTCTCCTGGTGAAATTGTTACGTAAATCTGTGTGTCATCCGCATAGCTATGGTAACTTATTTTGTTGTTCTTCATTATCTGAGCCAGTGGTAGCATGTAGATGTTAAATAGAAGAGGCCCCAAGATGGAGCCTTGAGGAACCCCACATGTCATATTTGTCAACTCAGATGTGTATATTTACCTATAGAAACAAAGTGGTTTCTGTCCTTTAAGTAGGATTCAAAACCGATTTAGAACTGTTTCCGAAAAGTCCCACCCAGTTTTCTAGTCGGTCTAGTAATATGTTGTGGTCAACAGTGTCAAACGCAGCACTGAGATCTAATAATGCTAACACTGAAGTTCTGCCACTGTCTGTGTTTAAGTGGATGTCATTGAAGACCTTTACAAGAGCAGTGTCAGTGCTGTGGTTTGGACGAAAGCCTGACTGGAACACATCGAAACAGTTATTTAAATGCAAGAA